AACAAAATCCATTTCCATGATAAAAAATGGAAGCCGTTACTCCCATTAATACAACAGTAGCTGTTATCCAAACTTCGTTTTTCTAATACTCCCTGTATTACTCTGTATTTTAAGTTCAAGTCGAATAAGTTATGTAAGCCTTGTAGTGTAGTGCAGCGTAGCTTTTTATTTATTTATTCTATTTTCTTTTTTTGTTTTTTGTAATTAAGGTAGTTGTTGTAAATTTTGTAGTGTTTGTATGTTTCCATCTGTATGTTGTTTGTACTATACCTGTAAAAAGAAAATAAATAAATAAAATACAAAAAAAAAAAAATATTCCCATCTATGCAGAGCACAAATAAGTTAGAGCAAATCGGATCGACGTGCGATTTTTAGTCTTTTTTCCCTAGAAATCTAGAAACTTAGAGTATTAGAGTTTGATGTTATTCTAAATAGGCTTTCAGTAGAGATAACCACATTATGATGGCCTAGTTTAGGTATATGAGAGATAATGAGAGTATAAAAGCTGAATAATTTTCTAAATAGGCTTCTAGTAGAGATAATTATATCATCGTGTCTTTGCGTAGGTTTTACAGAGTATGAGAATTTAATAATATTCTAAATTGGCTTATTAAGTAGAGAGATTCATATCATTATGTATATTAGGATTGTATTAGGTTTTGTAGCGACCTGTTTTTACTTCTAAGTATAGCTTCTCAAGTGGTGTAGGTTACGTTATGCGCCCTATACTACGTATAATGTGGACAGCATTCAAAAGTTTTATACTGCGAGATAATAATAATAATAATAATAATAATAATAATAATAAGAAGAAGAAGAAGAAGAAGAAGAAGAAGAAGAAGAAGAAGAAGAAGAAAAGGAGGCTATAATTTATTATGTGTTTAACATTTAAGTAACTTGCTGAACATATCTCGGACTTTTCATCTCTGAAAGGTTGTTCCACAAGGGTCCATTCTAGGACGAGTAGTATTTATGCTATACGTAAACGACCTAATGTCAGTCTCTAAACATTAGTTAGTGCTGTCAACGACATTGCTATGTACACAACGTCAAAGTCCTTCTTGCATTTCAGCAAAAAGAATAATAGGATACTTGTAGCTGCTTCAGCAAATCACTGCTCTTACCCTCATTTCCAAATGAACTGCTATAATTGATCCGGGATTCAAGGACACAATTTACAGAACAAAACAAAAGATGTGTTAGCACATACTAATTTTTGGTAACTAACAAATTGTTTCTTATTTTTAAACAAAATTAATTCTAGACTGGGATGGCCGTGCAGCCTTACCGGGAAGAGGATTTGAATTATTTCAAATTCTCCTCCCTAGTGCTGAATGAATTCCCAAAAGCACTAAAACAGACGTTCAAAACCATGTGGGACAACGCCTATGGACATCGTCCAGGTTACCAGCTCTTTGATGATTCAACTGCCGTGAGAAATTTGTTTGCTACTACAGAAGGTGGTAGAACCAAAGTTCCTGTTAATCGATCGTATCACGAATGGGATTGCACTGCTTTGTTCCAGGCCACTATCTACTCGCGAACCTTTGCCTTGCATCACGGGACCCTAAATGACGTGTATGTTAAGCCTCGTGGATTATCACATGGCCATTTTCATCCGTCCGTAGTGAGCATAACTGGAAACAATGAGGAAACTCAGGCACTAGCAATAGATCAGTTGCGCCTTTTGAGGAATTCCCTTTGTCACTCGACCAGTTCCAAGATAACCAAGGTAACCTTTGACCAGTACGTGAAACACGCCAAGGACGCGTTCCAAGCGCTGAATGTCTCTACAGCTCCTATTGATGCTGTTGGTAGTTTATTAGAGTCAGACTTTCCCATAAATGAAGTCCGCAGACTTGAGCAGGCTATCAAAGAAGAATATAAATCGTATATAAGGTTTCTTGAAAGTGTGAAGGAAAAAATGGAAAGCGATATTGCAGACAAAGAAGACGTCGGTATGTTGTCGCGAAAAATGGATGAGCTGAAGGCCACGGTGCAAGCTGAGGTTGCTACTCTATTTACGTCACGTAAGTCTAAGTGAACACCATTAAATAAAACCTCCAATGATAATATAAATAAGCGTTAAATTCCAAACTAGCGCCCCTAAAACCACTGATGTTTTTCTATATCGGAGTTAGATCGCTTTATAAAAAGTGAACGAAATTTATATAGCTGTAGCGCAAATAAGTTCAAGGTGGGCAGTTGAATCGTCCAACTCGCGTCAAACTCCTGCGATTAAAAAAACTAAAAAAACACTGTAGTACCTCGGATGGTAAAATAACGGCACACAATTCAAGCTTTACACGGTTGCTGCAGCATATGAAGCCCTTGACTGAAAGCTGATGCATTATTTTGTCAGCTTATAATATTGTCGCCACTCGATCATTAAGGCAAAAATGAGTTGATGAGGGAGAATGCAACAACAGGGCTCTAACCATGGACCCTGGCTCCATCCATTGCTTGTTTCCTTCTCCAGTCTCAACTTTACAACATCGTGCGGCTTTGCCTGAAACATGCATGCTGCTTTTTTCCCACTGACTCTTTCAACTCTGTTTCAAGGTGTGCGCCTAGAAGATGGTTAAAGCATGCCCAATCAAGGTAGTTTTGGCACTGATATATCATGATGTCATATATGATGTGCTATTTTTACTTCCCTGATTAAAACGACAACCTGGTTCACTAATGATCACTCATGACATCCTTTTTTATTTCTTTTTTAATTTTCCTACCTCGATGCGAGCCTGTCGAAGCCTGGTGGTATGAGTAATGAGTAGCAATCAATCTGACAAACTATCTAATAGCATAATCGTACGTGTGCAATGTAGCATTAGGGTGATACTTATGACCTTCTGTAGATCGATCGTCAGAGAGGCGCTGCATGAGCCTATTCATCCATAAAATGTGGTATTTACTGCGCTTCACTGTACTAACTTTTGCATCTTCAGGCAACTGCAATCAAAAGTCATGCTAATTATCGTGGAATTTGTAACACGTTTGGACTTACAGATGTGCCGAGGCGCCTCGTTTTACTTATTGAATTCCGTTTTTACATGTTTTTATTCAGTAAACTAAGTTTAGTTATCATTTTTTTTACAGCTCGTCTTCGTCTGCTGGTTGATTGTGCGGAAATCAATGGACTTTGTCCTCAGGGAGGAGCTACAGGGGGAATGGTAACTCAGCAGGAAGCACAGACAGTGCAAAAAGAGGAGTCTTCAAAGGCACAAGCACCTAATGGACCCCGAGGAGTGGTCGAAGGAACAGCAGCTGCAGGTTTAGATCAAGAAAGTGTCAGGAGGGGAGCTGTTCCTTCTTCACAGGAAGTTTTAAATTCAATTGCGACAAAGTACTTACAGGAACTCAACCCTTCGACACCTGAGGAGTTTAATAAATTTATTCAGTACATGAAGGAGGTGCGTAAAGTTATTGTTGTGGATGTTCAAAATGGAAGTTTAATACTCATACTGGAATGTAGCTCTCTTCAGATCCTTGACGAACTCTGGGAAGACTATTGCACAGGTCACCTAAATGAAGTGGCACAAAAATTCCTTGTAACAGACGAAATTCTCGAGGAATTTGGCCTAGCTGAAGTAAAACTCACAACAACTATTAACGAAGAGGAATACAAAGCTTGTCGTGAGCTTTTTTTGAATTCTTCAAGTAAGTAATAACTACTTAATCACAAATCCTAAATACACGTACTGGTGTTTAGCAAAACACGGCCTGGATTTCGACATACCAATCTGGTAAGTGCCCCGGGTGTGACGTAGTGTGACCCTCCCTTTGAAAAATTCTAGGTACGCCCCTGAGTTAACATACGCGAAACTACGGCTCGCCACGATGCCCTACGTATTCGGGAAACGTGTACGGTGAGAAAATAAGTTTAATTAGCAAATCACCAAATTTGCACGTGCATCTTACTTTTTTTCCCCATTTTTTTGCCATACTGCACGACCTCGACGTGAAAATTCCTAATTTCATGTTTTATGGGGGACGTGTCGTAAACAAACAATGATGAGCTCTTTTCCAAAGGGCGTAAGAAGTTAGGGCGTTGAAACGAGCGGGGTCGAGCGATCTAGCTGTGATGCAAGCGTCTGGGTACTACCAAAGAGACAAAACAAGATGGCGGACATTATATTGGACTGTCAGAGAGATTATCCAGCGGAAATTAGCCATTATCCCGTGGCATTCATTTGCTGCAAGCAATAGCGAAGGAACAAATTATTTTTTCTCACGTTCGTTTTCTGTCTTGTTCAATTTTTCCCCCGCGAACAAATATCTGTATTGAATATAGTTCCACCTCCGTGACCCGTATTAAAATTTCGTGACTTGGTAAGAAAATGTCATCACAACTCAGATGATAGCACTGACATCATTTTTAGACTAATATAATCAGTTCTCCACTTCAGTTTAATATCAAGTTGTGTAATTCATCATCTGCTATGGCATTTATTTTTTGCTGCCCAGTTTCAGGGCCAGATGATCTGTTTTCACTATTAAAGTTTGGATTTGTTGGTGTAGATCAGTATTGTTCTCTAAACACCTTATTGAGCTATCTCCAATATTGAGCATTACGGTTGGACAGATTGTGAAAACTAAAGTCCGGGTAAATTTAAAATTTAATAAAATCATCATGTTTTATCTTGTACACTAATACTACTGTGCAATGAAGAATAAGTATGTGAAAAAATATAATTCACTGCCTTGAAAAACTAACAAAGAGGTCGCAAGAACACAAATAAGTAGCCCAGCAAATATTTTTGTTTGATAATAACAGCTTTTTGTAATGAAATGGTCACTGAAAACTACCCATGCAAGACATTCTAAGGAACTTAAAAAAACTAAATATTCACTAGTCTTACATTGAAACCAGACATTGCTATATATATATCTTACATTACAAATTCAAAAGTATATTGCAAACAAGAAAATTATACTGAATTGTGCACAAATGAAATACAAATGGCCTGTAACAGCTATTAAAAACCATTGAAAAATAAACTTTTTAGTGTGGCCAGCAACCCGAGCACACTTGTATACTTCATGTCCAGAATGATTCATTTTCATTCTTGGTTAAATTTATTAACTGCAGCAGGCTTAATCAAAATTGATTCGTAAAATACTTTCCTGTTTCCTTGTCTACAATATATAATATTAAGAGAGATGATATAATGCTAGAAATATTATACAGTAGTACAATCAAAAGATAAGGCACCTCCAGGAAATCGAGTTGGTCCCTACTATTCTTCAGTCATTTCCTTTTTATTTACTCTCTATAAGAGTTCAAGACCAGTGTCCATTCAGACATTTTGTGCCAGTCCCAATAGTTCCCATCTGAGAGCTGACTGTAGTTTGTGCAACATCACACTTAAGCCTCTGACGACAAAAATACAATGTTGCACAGTCTTAATTTATTCTACTGGCAATCAAATTAAGACCTCTTCATGTTCTTCTTCATATTCACGGTATTATGAACTCGTTTATCTTTCAGTGTGTGTTCTACTAGTATTTTCAGGCCGGGCACTCACTGTTGTCCTGCAAAAGAGCATAATAACAAACACATTCTATGATTTAATTTTACAGTGGAATCTTGGTGGGGATTTGAAAGCAAATTTCTCCACAGGCTTCATTCTGTTTCTGTGCAATACAACCTTTAGATTTATACCACAGTGAAGCAGAATTTGTTGTTGTTTATGTAAAGACAGTGTCACATGCACGAAATCATTCGAAAGCAATTTTCTAGTAGAACTTCAAAAATAGTCTGAACCTTCTAGGATCGCGGTTCTATGACTAAAAATTATTTACCATCTTAGTGTATATTAAAAAAAGAAAAATCGCTAAACTGGGCAACTGAATTTAGTAACAAGCTAGACGCCAACGTACGAAACAAAAACCTTGCTATCGCCACTATGAAGTCATCACTTCAGAAGTAAAAAAAATCTTAAAGGTTCATAAAAGTTCACTCTAAAACTCTGCATACACAAACAAAATTTATAAAACCATTACATATTTTTTTTTGTAGCCGTTTATTATCATTTGGTTTTGACTGGCAAGATAAAACGCGACCTCAACCTGTAATATTCGATAGGCCATTTTGACACTACATATTAAACATAAAAGGCGAAAAAACACCTTAACTTACAAGACTTAATATTTTCTGTATATCGCAAAGAAATACGCCAAATATCAAATCTAAAGATATAAAACAATAAATCCGAACCTTCCTCCAGCTAGACGGCGCCATTTTTCTTGCCCTGACAGCGGATCGATATTATCCTCGGAGACCTAGGGGCAGTCAGTCGGGCCGGGTTGAAAGTTCAAGCATGGGCGGAAGAGCTCCTGGGTACCGACTCTCACCGGACCATTTCCAAACGGTCAAGAGAATGCTGGTTCCTGATTGGGCACAAAAAATGCTTTGTATTATTGTGCCCAATCGGCGAACAGCATCTCCTGAGTTCTTTTCGTGAGTTCGTACACGACGGCTATTATCTCTCCATTAATACAACAGTAGCTGTTATCCAAACTTCGTTTTTCTAATACTCCCTGTATTACTCTGTATTTTAAGTTCAAGTCGAATAAGTTATGTAAGCCTTGTAGTGTAGTGCAGCGTAGCTTTTTATTTAATTATTCTATTTTCTTTTTTGTTTTTTGTAATTAAGGTAGTTGTTGTAAATTTTGTAGTGTTTGTATGTTTTAATCTGTATGTTGTTTGTACTATACCTGTAAAAAGAAAATAAATAAATAAAATACAAAAAAATAATAATAATAATAATCCCGAGGCAAAAGCAGAGTTGGCAAGTTTTGCCTCTGAAATTACTCCCTAGTGTGGTATGCCAGAAGTAGGATTTAATGAAGAGGGAATCATAAAACATGTGCAGGCCTAGTTCAACGAACAACGAAGGTATAGGAGGAACAAATCTGATTCAAAGGTAACTTTCCTAGTAAATATTTTTTGCTTTTACACCTAAATTTCTTTCATGCCACACCTGGTATGCCATGGCACGATATGCAATACCCCGATAACCCATTGGAGGGCAGGTCATTCGAAATATTTTGAGGTGTGAGAGAAGGCTGAAATTTTGACCGTTAATCAATAAATTCTTTACTTTTACATAGAGAAAATGTTTGAGTGATGAAGATCCCAAGCTTCCTGAACTACATGAAGATGTGCTAACTTCTGAGGTTCTTACAGTGATTCTATAAGAAGAGTCATAGTTTATGTAGTGGAGCAGGGGTGCTATGGTGATAACTGATTAGTTTAGTGTGTGTGTAATGTTTTTCGGAAGCTATCCCCCGGCCCTTGATGATATCATTTAATTTCTTCGGTGAAATGGCACATAATTGATCGATAATCCTTGGTTTCTCATTCTAGTCAGCGAGTGATAATAATGCATGCAAAAGAGTCAAGTCTGTTCAAAAGGTACGTGGCTTGGTTGACCTGATTCTTTCAGTGCTAATGTATATACCTAAACATGTTCAGCATTATTTAATTGACTTTTGTCTCGCACTGACTTTTCATAATGTATGGTTGTTGGACAAAGTTGAAGCAATTAAATGGGCCTACAACATTATTTTGATCAAGTGGGGAGAGGTTTATAAAGTAATAAGAATGACTTGTATAATTCACTATTACAAAGTAAGATATCACACACTAAAGCCTAATTCTGATTTATCACTACAGTTCTTTTTTGGCTATGTGTAATTTCTTCGGTGTTTTACATCCTCCTGTAGGTATTATCTTTTATGCTTTGTGTGGTTTAAACCCTTTAAGATGTGTTTCACATGTACTTTTATTTCACAGGTCAGTCTTGGAGGAGGTGACACTGAAATACAGTCACAAGAAAGTGACGATGACGGGACAGTGTCAACTGTTTCAGTTGATTCAACGGAGGACTCTGTGGAAGAGGCCAGAGGTGCATCAACAGCAGTGGATGGTGTCCCCAAGTTAAAGCGTGCTGTTGAGCAAAGTACAGTTAGTTTGTCACTGAAGGGTTATCAGATGATTGTTAAATCAGTATTTCGTGAACAGCTCGATAGAGACAACATTGTCAAAGTGCTAAGAAGTAGATTTTCAGTGAAAGCAAATACCTTGATAACATTGACAGTATCACAGCTAACAGAGATCATTGCAAAGAAATTGTTGAACTATCAATTCTGTTCCATCAAGAAGGGGGCCAGCTCAAGTAACATGAAAATGTAGGACATTATTGTGCATAAAGAAATTTCTCTTTGATCAGTTGATGAACTTGTCGAATAACATATAGCTGCATGAACAGCACTGCCTTGTTCAGTATATATATTTGATATGTAAATGTTGCTGTTAACCATGAAAACGAATGAATTGTCATCTAAAATAAATCTTACTGTTAACCCTATTAATATTGATGATCCTTGATTTTGTGTTTTACAACTGGACCAACATTGTTAAAGGGTGCTTGATTGATGATAATGACATTCTGGACCAACAAAATCCCGTAGTTCAGGACATATGTGGGCCAATGTTATCCCATTATTGACGATTAACTGGGGTAATAAAAACCCATCCTTGGAGTATTACTATCCCAATATATTCCCATACCTTGGGTGTAAATTGGTCCAATGTTATCCCACTAATTGGGGATTAACTGGGGCAATAAAAACCCATGCTTGGGGTATAACTGTTCCAATATAATCCCATACCTTGGGTTTCTGATGGCCCAATATTAACCCACTATTGGGGTTTAACTGGGACAATTGAATCACCTTTTGGGGTTTTTGTGGGTTGACAAAATCCCATTAATGTGATAAATATGGGACGGGAAAACTCCATTCCTGGGTTAAAGTTGGTACACTAAAATCCCAATTTGCGGGTTTTTATTGGGTTTACTTGAACCCAACATTGGTTTTGGTAACATTTTCCCAATTTGGGAAATTACAACCAAAACTCAAGAAAACCCCACAATTTTCCTGTTTTTTCCCACTTTGGGAATCACCAAAAATTGCGTGTGTAATTCCTTTACCATAAGAAAGCCTCTCCCGTGGAATCTGTGGGTGTTCTGCCTTGACGTTTCCTCAAGTTCTTGAGTAAGGTCTTTCGTTTATCTCATAGCACATCCCACTCCTCAACACAACAGGGGAGCCCCGCGTCCGTATCGACTGTCAACAGTGTTTTGCCTGGAATACACTCTCTTACAGCTTCTGCCAGTCCTGCAGCACACCCCGTCAGTCCTCGCCTCCCCCTACCGTCCTAGTCAGGTTCTTGATGTTAAAATGTTTGAATCCAGACGCCTAGGACTCGAACGTCGCCTGACATCATCGAAATATGAAAGGAAGAAGAGCAATCTGGAGATAGAACTTGTTCGTTTTCTGTCGAGACTGCGCCCACCCAAGGACCTCTCAACTACCAGCCCGCGGGATATTGTTCACTTTCTTATATGGAAGGACAAGGACGCGAAAACTTAGGTACACCAGGAAGGCTGCCCACATTTTGGCTCTTCCTCCAAGATCACGAAAGGATGCGACTGCCCCAAACATCTCGCCTTTAAAACTGCTGATTCCCTTATCGGCCAGCTCCGAGCCATCCTTCGTGATTATCGAACTACGGTACACTCCCCGTTCGAAATGTCCCTCCCAAATCCTGCATCACATATGATCGTAAAACTGTATCTCAAAGTCCTCACCGAGGAACAGCTGCAAGCTCGAGTGCTCCCACAACAGGCCGAACCGTTCTTTGTCCATGATCTTATGATTCTTTGTTCAAAGATAGAGGGATTATTAAAAGGCCCAGCTATAGACTCCACCCATTTCTTCATATATGCTGGAGACTTAGCATATTTTAAACTACATTTCTCAGGATACAACGGAATACTATAATTCCATGAACGAGCTGTTGTTGTTTGAACCTGCTCACCGCTCCCCTACTGCCTAGTACTGATTAACGAACACACTCTCGTAATAACTCCCTGCCAAACCTTGTGTTCGACCTGATCTACACTTTGGTCCGTTACTTAGTAAATTAGTATATCAGTCCCTAATTAGTAGAGGGGTTGTTAACACATCGGCTAGATATTTAGACACATTATTAAAGTTTATGTATTATGTATGTATGTATGTATGTATATATGTAGGAGTGGTTTTATGGTTTGGGCTTACTGGTTTGGCCTAGCTACTAATTAGGTCAGGGTTAGGGGTCGGAGAGTGCAAGTAAATCCCTATCGTGGTGTCCCCTCCCGCTGGACGGATTTCAGCCCAATCTAATAGCACATTTGCATGACGACGTCACGAGCGCACTGCATGCTGGTATTTGTAGTCAAGAAGAGAACAAAATGGCAGCTCGTAGTGGAGGCGGGTTCACTTGTTGTGTTCCAGGCTGTTTTACGAACAGTAAAAGAGACACGCATCTGTCAACTTCCTGTTTGGGCAACAAGAAGAACAGTTGAAGAAACAATGCCCGAAGTTTCTCGGCAGAAATACCCACTCACAAGGGTCGTCCTTGACTGTACTGAATTATTCATTGAAAAGCGCTCATGTTTCCGTGCACAATCTGAAACTTACTCTTTATCTAAGTCCCACAATACAGCCAAGGGCCTTGTTGCAATAGCACCTAATGTCAGATTTGTGTCAGATTTGTAGGGAGGTCATTGTAGCGACAAAGTTATTGTTGAGCATTGTGGCATTTTACAGCTTCTTGAAGAGGGTGAGCAGTAATGGCAGATCGTGGTTTTGAAATCCAAGACCCATTAACCTCGAAGAAAGTTTACCTTAATATTCCACCCTTCATGAGAAGTAAAGACCAGCTAAATCCTGATGAGGAAGATGAAACCAGGAAGATTGCATCAGTTCGCATACACGTGGGACGGGCTATTGAAAGAGTGAAAAACTTTAACATTCTTAAACAGATATTACCAAATGCTATGGCTGAAGATGTTGACAAAATTTGGAAAGTTTGCTGTTTACTGGCTAATTTCAAGGGGCCACTGATAGTATAGTCAAGTCCCCTTGAAATTAGCCAGTAAACAGCAAACTTTCCAAATTTTGTCAACATCTTCATTTTTTTAAAATAACTTCTTGAATTTGTAAGAAATACAAGGTACATAGTATTGGTTTACAGGATTTACCCAATAACTGTTTGATAAAGTAGACATGTTGTGTGTAAAAGGGAAATAAGCACCAAATAGAAAAGATTTCTTTAAAAAATTCTCATTGGTAGCATAGGAAATGAATAAAAAACAGTGTGGAGAATATACATACTGATGCCAGGGTTTAAGGGTTAATTGAGGAAATATGGTATTTGTAATTTGACAGTAGTAGTAGAGGAAATATTAAAACTTAATGCAAATGTATATCTTCCAGAGAAATAATTTTCATGCAACAGGTGAAGGAACTTAAAATATTACAGGTTTGTCACAAGTGGCCAGTTGCCATCAAAACCATCACCGACTTAACTGTAGAGGATGGTTATTCTGCTCGGTAGTTGTTTACAAGATGTGATGAACTGTTAAAAATTGCCACTTTTAAGAAATCACCTGTCAACTCACAACATTCTTGCAACGCTAAATGGGTGAATAAACGTAATATCAAGTTAACAAACCAATGACTTATCTCAGTGATTACATAAATATCTGCAGGCATTGAACTTAATCAACTCTTTGCATAGTTCTTAAACCTATAGACATTATTTCCCAGGGTGATTATTTTCAGTCATTTGAAGGAAAAGATGTTTGGGTACATAGGGATTCCTCTCTTCTCGCGTCCAGTTAGTCGCTCAGGAACCATAGCATAGAGATAAAAGTCAAGAAGCTTTTTCTTGAGAGCTTCCCAGCATGTGGGATCAAAAAAATTCTTTCAATATGTATTTTCTCACGATTCATGAAATAAGTGTACACAACAAAATCACACCATGGCTTTCTAGTGATCGCCATACCCCCTGAACTTGTTTATAGTATGAATGTTTTTGTTTGAGTCTGAGTCCTGATTCGGTAATCTCCAAGCAGAAATTCTTGGTGTGTTTTGCAAGAACTTTAAGTAATGAACTTTGTTTTGTATCCATTTGTTCCTTTAACTTTGATGGGAATAACTTGTATTTTGCGCCAAGGTTTCCAATTGGATGATATTTATTTGTTGGATCACTGACTTCACCATCAACACTGGCAGCCACCACAGGATTATCCTTATCAATAACAAGGCCTTTATCTTTCACAGTGATGCCCTCACGACCATTGTTTTCTTGATGTTGAATGTATTTACCTATGATGACTGGTTCCATTTCCAACCCCACTTGACACTGATATGGTATATTTGGCCTGCAGTTGTACTGAAACACATCCCTCACAAGCCTATCAGGGGGTGTAGTTACTCTTCTGTTACTCATTTCATCAAATTTCGATGCAGTTAGTCTTCCATATCTGTATTGAAACCAATCTGAGTTGCTAGATTGCCCTCTTGTTTTTTCCTCAACAGTGTCGATACCATCCTCAGGTATTTTGATGATTTTCATGTACTCTTTACAAACTGCTATAAAGTTCTCATCAGTTAAATCCAAGTTATCTGAGTGGCACTGTGTGGGATTGGGTATGGTAAAGTTACTATTGCTTTGAAAATCAGGATCATCATTTAAAGTTTCCTCAGAAATCATAGCTTCATCAGTTTCAGTTTCTACAATCATGCTAGTTTCAGGCTGTTGTTCAGGTAAGTTAGAAATTGCTAGAGAATGGGAAATGATTAAGTCTGGTAAAAAGTTGATGTCTAGTGGCTCACACTGATTTTTTCCAAAACAATGTACTGGGGCTTTCTTGAAAAGACGATATAATTCACATTTAGAAGCTTCTACCTCTGTCTAAGTTTCATTTCTTTCATGTTTACCAGGTAGATAATCATGATCAACAAGAACAGTGTGTTTAGCAAACTTATCTTCTATTGTTTTCACAGTTACAGGCTGCCAATTGAGAATTACTGCATTTGACTCCATAGGCAAGTTTTTTAATTCATTGTAGAGGTCCTTAATCTGCTTTCTTGTAACCTGTAGAGCAAAGGAGGGACATGATGAATATGTCTCTTTCTCGTTTTTCCTTTCAGTCCTTTTTTCAGTCTTCTTTCTTTTGTCAGCATCATAATCGTGCTTTATCATCAGTATATATTTGAAAAGAACTGGAACGTTTGAGGTTCGTTGGGTTGGTTTATGCCACTGCTGAGGCCTTTCTGTGCAAGAAGTGTTTGGAGGAATCAGCCCAAGGCCACTTTCAGAGAAGTTAAGTATGGCATATAATAAACCCAAACATGTTTACAATATCCATTAGCGCCAGTTTTACAAGTGCATTGAGCAGACACAACTTCACCTGTTTTGTTTTGTCTAACTTTTGTTCTATACATCTTATTTCTAGTCATACAAGCCTTTACTCTCGCATCAAAAAAGCAGAAATCATCATGAGAGCTGTTAAATTTTACATCCAAGACATGGGAAGCCTTAAACAAAGCGTACCCTTCTCGTTTGCTTTTAAACGCCCCTCGTCTTTTTTTCCTCGCTGTTTCTCCCTCCAGACAGATACGAAAATATAATACAATGTTGAAACTCCGGTGTTTTTTCTAGGCTTAAGGTTCAGCCTTCTTTGGGCCACTCAACAACCTTGTCATCACGTTCATTGCCAGTGCCTTCGAATTGTTTTTTTCGAATGCAGTGAATTCCCCTATCAGGATCAGTTACCTTCAAGTGTAGTCCACTGGAAATATAATCTTTAACTCTAAAAATTAAATATTGGCAAAAAAAAAAATACAAAATAACCCAGCATGGATGCCAAAACACTGCACAAATGTCATGTTTACCTTTCAAGTAGTTGCACGCCAGTGCCAGAAACACTCCCCCCTCCGCACCTCAACCAACCTTTCAATTCATCGTTTTTTAACTGTTCAGGTTTCCGTCCCTTTAAAGATGCCCCAGGAACGTCGTCTTCCGTTAAAATTGTTGGTAAAGATTTGTTCTTTGACCTATTAACATCTTTGAACGCCTCCTTTGCCGCCATTGTTTTTGAATCTCCCGGGAGTGTCCAGGGAGTTTGACTACAAATACCAGCATGCAGTGCGCGCATAGCGTCATCATTCAAATGTGCTATTATCAAGCATGAGTCGGGATATGGTACTGTCCCGGCGGTTTGTTCATTTTACTTCCACTGGGCCTCTGGCCTCAGTGTGACGGGTGCTATAGTCGGGGGCTGGGGGCTCGTGGCTGGATTGCGGGTTGGTAGGCCTGTGGGTGTTCTTCCGCCTTGGGGTGTAATTGCGGTTGCAGCCTCCTGTCCCATGGGCGCCCAACCTCCACTTGCGACGCGGGCGTTAACCATTAATAAGCTTTCCTCCCTACATGTAATATATAGATTTACCCAGGGCTAAAAGCGGAGCTCCCGTTAATAAATTTATAATTCAAATCAAACAATAAACATTAATCAGTTAACTCCGCACAAGGTTATAGGGGACTTGATACTGGTAACACGTATGTTGTGGTACCATTCGTAGCAGAAACAGCAGAGGAGGAATTTAAAAAAACTGTCCAGAGGAATGGCACTCTCCATGCAAAACTAGTGAGAGACATTGGCTTTGACGACAACAAAGGTCATAGCAGTAGAAATGCCGGTGAAAATTTAGTTGGTAGTAATGTACCGGTAGATACCGAAGCAAGCAGCAGTGATGAGGAGGACGTTGTTGAAGGCGTCATACCATGCAGACAGAGCAATGGACCCGTTGCTGTATCACATAAGAGCCAGTCTGAAGTTGATGCACAACTGACACATGACGATGGTAACCACACGCAGAATCAAGTGGAGGTCCTTGAGGAGGATGCTCCTGATCCAGACCATGATGACGAACCACTAGCCGGTGGTTGTGCTGATAAGGAAAGTGCTGTCCCCGCAGTTTAAGCAGATCTTGCGCTTTCCAATGACGGTGTAGATCCTTAACTTTCTGCTGATGATGTAGACCCTGGAGTTTCTATAGGTGTTGCAGATCATGAGCTCACCACCGATGGTGTAGGTCTTGAACTTTCTACTGATGGTGTAGATCCTGAGCTTTCTACTGGAGCTGTAGATCCAAAGAAGCCTGAGGTTTTACAGGCCAGTACCAGTGAGAGGCTCAGCAGCAGAGGTGACAGCAACTAGTGATACCAACAACCGCCCTCCAGTCAGACATTCTACCCGGGTGGGAGCTGGACAGCACTCTAATCCTCACCACCTGCCAAGACCTGCGATGAGGGAAGGCGTGGCAGTGACAGTGACATACCCACAAATACTTAACTGTGTAGCACAATCCAACCTGCTTATAATGCAGTTGTTAGCTAAGAATACTCGGAAATACAGTCGACTCCCGATAACTCGAACCTTCAAGGGAAATCGAAAAAAGGTTCGAGTTATCGGGAGGTCGAAGAAAATAGCCGAGAGAAAGGTAAAAAAACCCAGTTTTTACTGCACCGTGAACATTTTAATAAAATTTAATTGTAGAAATGTCAAGTGAAAATTACATTAAATATTTGCTAGCAAATAGGATTTTTATGCTCCCTATCACTTCCTTCTTGATATTGTTGTATCGTTATTGTGAAATGGCAGAACTATTTTCCTTGTTATGCAATAGCGGGGCTCCCACGCGCGCCATGTGATTGACCGAGGGTACGTACGTACGTACGTATGCGTCTACGGATTGTACGGGTGGGGTAGGGGCGACTATCAAAAGGAAGGGAGGGGTGTCTCAGGCGTGTCTTGCCAAGTCCACATCTTTTACATTGGACATTCACAATATGGTCAATTGACAGCTATCAAAACAGGATAGCCACTGACCAGTATCCCATGACCATATCGCGGGCTCATGTTTCAACTCATTGAGGTGACATGATTTATTTGGAAGCTGTCCGCTGACCAGTTAATTATTTTACTAGATCGCGATCAACGTTCAGTCTCATACTTTCTAGCTAGTTTGGGATCGGAGCACAGGAAAACTGATACACATCAATGTTGTGATCCATTGGCAGCTGTCAAAACAAGGTATCCGCTGACCATAATCACTTGACTGTATCGTGGGCTCAGGTGTCGACCCATCGAGGACAAGTGTTTTTTTGAAGTTATCCGCTGACAAGGTACTGGTTTTCAAATGAACGCAGGCTCAAGTTTAATTTTTTTTAAAATTCATATGAAATATGTTGTGTTTATGTTCCGCACAATTAAAATTTTGATTTCAAACTGACCTCGGACGCGAAAATTTAGCCAGCTGCTACAGGCAGGGAAGACAGTTGCTTTTGACTTTCCTCGCCATGTTCACGCGTTGGTCACGCTCTACGTCCAATTTTTATGCTCCGATTGGTCAGAATTTGACAGGTGAGTTCATGTGGAAAATTTATGCATCTTGAATCTTGTTTACTTTGACAGCTGAAGCTGACAGAGTTTTGTGTTAACTTGTGATGTTTTTAACTTTCTTTTTCCACTGGATGTACAAAATGAAATTCAGCTGCTAACAGGAGTCTTCTGTTATTCATGGCTAGTTTGTTTATTGGGTTTTTGGTCGAGTCAAAGTCGGAAATCCGATTTCGGATGGCATCGTTTTCGTTTTCATCTTGCTTAATGCGTAAGAGGGTTGCAAAGTCTGAAGCGATACTGGCCTTACTTGATACCTTTCAGGAGCTGCATCTCGAGTGGTAAGCCTAAGTAATTATTGCATTTGATGTTTGTTTTTTATTTCTAATTTAATGAAGTCGAGCGTAGTTTATGCGGCTGTTTTGTTTACGCACGTTTTGTAAGATTTGAGACAATGATCTGACCGAGTATCAGGTTTGTTACAAGCTTACATATCTTTAAAAATCCTTTAGACATTTTCTCACCGCAAATAGAAAGAAAACGTTTCAAAGAATATTTAGTTATAATTCTGGCTGTAAAAGAAAGGTTTGAGCGATTTTCTTGCCTCGAGTTCATCTTTGAAAAAAGCAAACACCGGGAAGCCGGTTTAAAACATAAACTTCAGCTTTAAGCTCGAAGACTCAGGATTTTTAGAGACACTTTAATACTTGTCTTCCTGAATGAAAATTGTCGTCTCTGTATATGTTTCACCGAATTATATTCCTTTTATTGATTGTTAGTACTCTCCCTTGTAATTTTAATCGTTGTGCCGATTGTTTTCAGTCGTTCAAAATGCCGCGCGTTAAACAGTTTTAAAATAAAAAATAAACATTATAAATTCTTCATTATGTTGGAGCGTTACTCTGTTAATGTTCATTCAAACACTCGCCACTGCTAGCACTGTAAAAGTCAAAGCCGGCTGGCCGTATAGATGATTTTGGAAATTTTTTCAACGGTTTACGGCTAAAGCCCACGCGTGCTTCGATCGTCCTGAATAGCAATTTGTATCGCAATATTGTGAAATACTGCATTCTGTTGTCCGAGGTCTGTATGATAAAAACAGTGCCTCATAGTACTGTTTCACCTCAGATGTGATGTATAAATGTTATAAAAGGTTGGTTTACACGCACCCACATTTGTTGGCAAGATTTTGTAAAATAAACTTGTCGAACGCAAAAATTCGGCCGGAATTTTTTTTCCAGGCCTAATTAATCTACGGTGATCAATAATAAATGTGATCGAAGATGATTGCCAGTTTTTAGGTGTACTTATGAGGCTATCAACTCGATGTGAGATTTGGTTCACTCTTGGGCTATTTGCAAATTATTTTTTGTAAAATCACTTAGCCTTTCCCTGAAAAGTCACACGAATGTGCTCTAAAGTTAACTGAATTGTGGAAAACAAGTTTATTGTTTGATTTAAATTATAAATTTATTAATGGGAGCCTCGCTTTTAGCCGTGGCTAAATCTATATATTAGCAGCATTCACGTGGCAAGTGGCCAGCGGTATCCCATATTGACCACACGTACGCGTGATTCCGAGTGGATCAAGCACACTTGCCTCAAACTCGTGGACAAGTAAGCTGAAGCTTTTCAAGGTGAGCTTTTGACTTTTATTATGGCCCTGTCAGTCCCCCATGTTCTTATTTTGGGGCATTCATTCGTTCGTAATTTTAAAGCTGACCTTGCTGCACGTTTTGACCCTCGTGTTGGGGAGGATTTTGGCCTTCACGGTTCAGCAAATGTCCATCTTTATGGGGTCGGTGGTCGAACGGTTAGTTCGCTCCGTTCCTTCAACCTTCCTGTTATTTGTCGTACTGCCCCGGAGGTAGTTATTCTTGAGATTGGAACCAATGACCCTTCCCAGAACAGTCCTGAGGTTACTTTCGATATCGAGGATTTCGCTTGTTTTTTGCTGAGGGAATTTCGCGTCCGAATTGTGTGCATTTGTCATGTCATCCCACGTGGGCCATCCTGTCGGCGTGGCGGTGCATCCTTTAACACTAAGGTTAAAACGCTGCATGAAGTTTTAGCTACACTTGTTGAATCAATTCAGGGTTTTTTTTGTTGGTTGCACAAGGGGCTCACGAACCCTGTCAGGACAGTTCTTTTACCGGATGGCGTTCACTTAAATACTTTGGGCCAATATCTCCTTTATCGTAGCTATAGGGGAGCTATCATCAAAGCATTGTCTCTACTTCATAATTCTACCATGCCATAGATGCCCCTTTCGCCAGGTAGCATCGCTGATCATTTGTTTCCAAGGACCTAGCTCCCTGATTTTATTTCCGAGCCTTAAATCCTCTTGATTATTTTATTACAAGGGCTTAGATCCCTGATTTTATTTTTGCGGCTTAAATCCTCTTGATTATTTTATTACAAGGGCTTTGGTCCCTGATTTTATTTTTGGAGGCTTAAATCCTCTTGTTTAATTTATTGCAAGGGCTTTAATCCCTGATTTTATTTTTGAGGCTTCGATCCTCTTGATTATTTTCTTACAAGGGCTTTAATCCCTGATTTTAATTTTGGAGTTAAATCCTCTTGATCTTCAAAAATGAATATATTGATTTTGGTGTTCTGATAAGCAACCATTTGGCTGGGGAAGATAAATACCAGATTAGTATTGTTAATGGAAGGAGTGGCCAACCCTCTCTCTTTTTCGAGCCCTCTAATAAACCTAAGCGCATTGTAAACATTGAGGGTTGGATGTCTGCTTTCCGCATTTTTGTGACGGTGTATACCCGTAAATATCCTGCTGATGCACCAGCACTAATGAAGTATGGTGACCTAATTCAGGATTTGGCTTCTCGGTCACACAATTGGAAATTCTATGATGAGAACTTCCGTTTTATGAGCCAGAGTCAGTCCGAGGCTTATCCTTGGGGAACAGTTCAATGGGAGTTGTGGCTTCGCTCTCAGGTGACCCCTCAGTCCTCGCAGTCCACGCCAGCCACCAGCCAGCCACAGGGTTCGAAGGCATCTAAGTATAATGCCATCTCCAAGGGTTATTGCTACCGTTTTCAGAGAGGGAAGGAATGTTCAGGTTGCGCATACAAGCATGTGTGTTTTAAATGCAACGGAAATCACGGTGGGCTGCCATGCAATTTTCGTCCCTCAAAGAGACCGACCTCAGCCCCATCTCAAGCAAAGCCACAACCTTCCCACACCAGTAAACGCTGATCGTCTAAGGAATTTTCTTGTTGGGTATACACCGTCTACAGTAGAGTTTTTGTATGCTGGGTTTACTAAGGGATTTCCCCTACACTTTGAAGGTGAATTCCTTTCTTTCGAGGTTGAGAACCTGTTAAGTGCTCGCGACCACCCAGATGTTGTTTTTTCTAAAATTAAATAGGAAACAGAAGCCCTTTGCTTGGCGGGTCCATTTGAATCTCCACCTTTTACAGAATTTCGTGTAAACCCACTAGGGGTAGTGTCTAAAAAAGTCCCGGGTGAGTTTAGGATGATCCACCACCTGTCCTTCCCTAGTGGTTCTTCAGTAAACGATGGCATCCTATCTACAAATACATCAGTTCAGTACGCCACCATTGCAGATGCAATCGGCCTGATTAAACAATGTGGCAAAGGGTGTTTTTTGGCAAAAACTGACATCAAAGATGCCTTTCGCATCAATCCAATTCAACCATCCGACTACCCCTTGTTGGGCATGAAGTGGAATGGACTTTACTACTACGACCGCT